AGCTTCTATTAGGCCGTAATACGCAGTATATGCCTCTACGTTATATACCTTAGTTTGGAGCCGAGTAGTTCGGATCTACGGAAGATCTATCGTATAGCTTGGTACCCTACCTAGCCTACTCCGGCGGAGGTACTACTGCCGTCTAACATCTAGGACCCGTCAGTATAGACAACAATATCCCGCTTAGAGAAAGTTACTATCCTGCCTATAAAGGAGAGGGCCTGTTCTTCTTTGGTCTTATTAGGTTCGTAGCCGACCCTGGCGAGGGCTATCTACCAGTCCGCTAGTTACTCCCAAGGGGGGAGTTCTAACGGATCGATGTATTCGGTATTTTTGCTTACGAGGCTTACCATTCGTCGTAGCCGTGAGTCTGGTCCTGATTTACCCCTAAGTCTCGTTCGGAGAGGGTATCGCTCGTCCAGACGATGGATTATGGTGGACGCTATATAGAGCTTCGCGTCCAGTATCACCTCTGGTGGGGGTAGAGCCGCCTCGCGCTATAGGATCGGTATAGGCATAGTTCTATATACGGGGACCATCGCTCTAATAGCTTTGGTTTACGTCGCGTCCAGTTAATATAGCAGATTACTAACCCCGTTTAAGATAGTACGTCTATTCTTTATCTAGCTCTTACCGGGCTACTATACTTTAAATATATAGTACTAAATAAGTAGTACATAAGAGGTGATCGCTCGACGAAGTAAGTACGTAGGTGCGCCCTAGATAATATTCCCTAGTCCCTATAGTCTATTAACTACTTAGCATGCCTTTATAAAGAGGTTTTTTATGTAACTTTTAAATATAAGTTTATAGTCGAAGTGAACGCCGAGCCAGCGTAGAGAAGAGCCTTCTTTGATAGCCTAAACTATATAATACCTCCTATCTAGCAAACCTATTATGATTGATAGGTTTCCGTCTTTTCGTCTCTTAGTAAAGTGGATCAGTTCGGACTTATCGAGGTCAAAAGTGATTCCTTCCGTCGCGCCCCATCCTAAGGTTTCTTTCCATTCCTTGGTTAGGATGTCACAGTTGTTCTCTAGTGATGTTGAGCTTGCCAAGATAGCGACGTCATCGGCGTAGCCGAAACGAGATCGCTTCCTTCCTAGGCGAGCTATGCCTAGCTTGAAAAGAGGTTCAATATAGAGCATGAATAGAATGGGAGACACGGGTGAGCCTTGTGGTAGTCCGCATTCGAGACCGAAGACGTCTCCTACCTCCCCATCAAGCCTTATTCTTGCTCTCCTTCCGGTAACAAAACTTGAGACCCAGCGTACGAGGTTCTCCGGCCATCCTTGTTCGCAGAGGCGTCGGACCAGTCGTCCTGGGAGCACGGCGTCGAAAGCCCCTTTTATATCGAGCGTAAGCATAGAGGTAACCAGGCCTCTTTGCCAGGCGCACTCGATGTCGTGGATGGCCGCTGCGATGAGGTCGCTGCAAGAGCGAAGAGGGAGTGCTCCAAACTGTTGATCGTGCAGAACACGATGTTTAACTGCGATCCAGGCAAGTCGTCTGGCGATGAGTCTCTCCAAGCCTTTTCCGAGGACGGCCAAGAGCGCAATTGGCCTATAGGAGCGCGGGAGTGTCTTGTCTCTTTTTCCCGGTTTTGCTAGGATCACGAGAGTTGCTTCTTTAAAACAAGTAGGATGCCAACCCTCGCGTATACACCCGCTATAAAGTGAGAGGACAATATCCTCGATAACTGGCCATGCTATTTTCAAAGCAGTCGTAGTGATTCCGTCGGTCCCAGGAGTCGTGTTTCCCGCGGTGAGAACCGAAGACCGTACCTCGTCCTTCGTAACCTGCGGGAAAGGAAGCGTAGCTTGCCTTTATAGGACTGGGCTTTCTGTTGGTATGTCCTCGGAGATTGCAGCGTTTCTAAGGAGGACGCGGGTAAATAAGTCGCGCTTCTCTTTTGGTTGTGAGACAAGCGTGTCTTGGTTGTCTACATCTCGGAGTGGCGGGGTCTGAAAGGATCCTGTGGCTTTGTGCCAACCGACCATTTCAAATATGTCTTTGCTTGAGGAGGCTGAGGAGATCTTGTCTTTCCAAAAGGCATCCTTGGAGCGTTTAAACTCGTAGAGGAAGTCCTGTTTTAGAGCTTCGACCTCCTCTTCTTCCCATTGGCAGTTCACTCCGGCTGCGCGGAGTCTTGCTAACATCGCTCGCTTACTCGCATAGGCTCGGTATTTACGTGTGCAGCTCTCGCTCCAGTATGGTCTCCCTATACCTTTCCCGAGCGTGCGCTTTGTGGAAGCCGTAAGTGCTTTAATAAAACAGTCCGTAAGCTATTGTGCTAGGAGATCTAAAGATTGTGGGTCTTGGATGTTGCTTGCAGTGCGGCGCATGGGTTATAAGTTGCGTTTAATGATGCCGAGGAAAAGCTCCTCGTCCATCGTGTCGAGCCGAAACCTTCCCGGCGTCTGGCTGGGTGAATCGATCAGGGCCAAGGGGACCCGGGTAAGCAGAGATTCGTGGTCTGATGTCGTGTGTAGTGACGTTTCTATGCTGGTGGAAGCCCCATGGAGGTTGCTGGACGCCCAGCATAAATCTAGGGTGTTGCCGCCTTTGTGCGTGGGTTCACCTATAGGTGACATTAGGACAAGGCTAGCGGCTTCTGCCCATTCTACTAGGTTTTCAGCGTCCGGGGAACTCGTGGCCTCGGGCTGCCACGTCTAATGGTGTAAGTTAAAATCCCTCGCAATCAGTACTCGATCCTCAGGTTTGGGTTGCCAGGCCGCTAGGATGTTCCTGAGAGCCTGGCCAGATCGCAGAGAGCCACGAGGGGCGTTATATACGTTAATAACTGTAAGGACCTCCTTCGTTCCTGAGAGGAGTCGTAAGAAGAGCAGGTCTATGGATGGATCGGGTAGAGGCCGTATTTATACGCCTCGTACCCCAGTTCCTCTGCGGAGGTAGGTAAGTACCCTGGGACGGTCTTCGGTCCAGTTATCTACTGGGGTGAAAGTCTCAAAACCTGGGTGGTGTCTTATGAGCCTCCTCTCTTCCGAACGGATAGACGGCTCTTATATTAGGAGTATATCGATCTGGGCTACGTAAGCCAGGTTCAGTGCTGTTTCGTGGGCGGATGCCCGCCTGCCCACATTCGCTTGTATGATTTGCAGGGTTTTAGAGGGCTGTATTCTTTTTTTGTGTCTCATTTGCCGGGGTATAGTCCATCGCTTGTTCTTCTTCACGGGAATGTCGATGCGACTGCTGGGTCGCATTTCTCCATAATCTTTCTCCCTCAGCTCGGATGGCCCGTAGCTGAGCCTTATCCCTCCTCTGGACTACCCCCTTCACCACTTTGGGTTGGATAGGGCAAGTCGCATCGAAGGCGGCGTGAGGCCCGTTACACGACGGGCATTTAAAGGGGCAGTCGCAGCCATCGTGACCCTCAGTGCCGCCGCAGGGTGCCCGGTGTTGATCAGTTGTGTGGGAAGGAGAGCTGCACTTGAGGCATCTCTTCCTTCTGGTGCACGTTCGTTCGCTGTGAAAACCGCCGCAGCGGAGACATTGAGGAGACCTCTTCTCCTTCGGGAACTGCAGGTTTACAAAAACGCTGGCCCCCATCAAACGGAGGCGTCTTGGTAGTTGCCTTACGGCTTCCGCCTTGAACCAGGCTGTCACCGTGCCTAGCCTTTCGACTTCGTCCTTCCTAGAGAAGTGTGCTTTTTCAGGCTTGAGTTTCGTCGAGACCTGGATCTCTTCAAGGAGCTCCTCGGTCGTGATTTCCAGCTCAGTGTTGGTTACCAGACAATGCCTGGTGTAAGGGACGTTTGCGATATAGGCTCGGATCCAGGTATCGCGTTGCTCGATCGCTTGCGCTTGGAGAAGGGCAGCGATCTGTTCTCTGTTCTCTAGCAGGACTTTTGCACCATCCATTGACGAAGGTAGGAGTGCTAATCCTGTCTTAACATGGTCGATCCCCTTGAGGGCTTCTCGGGCTTGGGGACTTAGCCTTTCCCGAACGAAGATATATATGTCGTAGGCTTTCTCGTTCCGAAGCGGGCTTTCAGGCGATAGACGCGCGAAGACGCGTAGATCCTTTAAGGCCGCCCGGTTTGTAGCTTGTTTTGCGCCTTGTTTGGCTGGCGTTGGTTCATCCTGTCTTCTGGACAGTGGCTGGCTCGCCGCCGCCGCGTATGAACGGACTGGGGGCGGCTGGTTCTGGGTTGTGTGCGAGGGATGCCCCTGGGAACTCAGGTCAGTCTCGCTAGGCCCTGTGCCAATAGCGTGCATAGACCTTGCTAGACCACGTTGATGCCGGTTTGAACGCTGTTTCTCCTCCTGAAGTTCTCTCTCCAAGGATTCGATCTTCGTCAAACAGTCTTTCAAAAACTGTTCCCTCTCGGCGTCCCGACGTAGGAGGTCCTGGACAAGATTCGAAAGCCTGTTGATCTCGTCTTTAAGCTCAGAGTTGTCCTGGTGGTTAACCTGCTCAACCACTCTGACCTTTGCAGTCGGCTTCCGGACTCGTCCCGACCGCCGAGATATACCGGCGTCCCCGTGAACCGTGATCGATGGCCCTACATCTAGGGAGACCGCTATGGTCGTAAAATTCAGCTCGTATGGGCTAATGTTGAGAGATAATAGTGCAGTGGGCCGTAGCCCTCTATAACCTTAATAATTACTAACAGTGGGTACCTTTCGAGGTATGTGTTCAGAAGTTCCCCGTGAGCATCAAAAAGGTAGCAAAAGTCTGGCCCTAGTACTAGGTAAGCTTAAGTCTGATCACGAGTTCAGACCCACAATATCTGATCGACAGGCTACAACATTAATCCCTGACTTGGCTCTAAAAACCAGGATCACTCTCAAGCCACACCGTCCCAATTTCGGAACACCAGGTTTACACCCCTCCATCTCGCGACAGGGATGTGAGCTAGGGGAGCCCACACATCCTTTTTACCTTATTAGTACCCGTTGCCTCTCGTCACGATCTCGTCCAGACACTCCCATCATCTCCCAAACACCTAGGCTAACAATAGCTGCCAACCCTCATCATGGCATATGATCGAGACGAGTTCGTTCGTCTTTTGACAGACTATTACAACTTCTGCAACCGCACTTTCTGGAATGCCACTATCGCGCAGGCTCCCGCTGGTGGGTGGCCTTCGATCAACCAGGAGACATTGGCCAACCTCAAAAATAACGACACAGTCATTGACCTCTTCCGCCACATCCCCTACGTCGAATATGTCGAGAAAGATCTCATTCATGCGCCCCTCGTCATGAAGAACACCCCTGTCATCGACTACCGCCACGAGGACGTCCAGAAGAAAATCCGCGAGGGCGAGATCGAAGGCATCGCTGCGCCTTTCACCGGCCGAGACCCCGCGATCCCGCCTTCTTGTGCGTGCATAGCTATATGCAGGGGCAGGAGCGGTTATCAAGTCGTACTAGACACTGACGACGGCTACATCTACTGGGGAGACCCGGAAGGACAGCACGATGAGCCCGCGCCCGAGCTGAATAGCAGTCTGGCACGGTTCGAGGGCGACGATGCCAACGAGTGGCGCGCCGGTTTCAATGTGTATGAGCCTGCTGACTTTTTCACGATCTGCAAGGAGAGGTTCCGGGAGATGAACTGGATCGGGCTTGGTCCATGGGATATGTCTGTCATGAAGCAGAACATGGGTTGGGAATACGAGTCCGAGCCCGACTCTGATTCTGACCCCGAGGATGATTTCAGCCATAACAAGCTAGCTAGGAAGATGACGAAGGCGGGCTGGCCTGGTGACGGAGAAGGCCGGGACTGGGACCGTCCCAAGTTTGAGAGGCTGGTTGAGCAGGGCAATAACGAGGAAGAGTAGTATGCACTGCCTTAGATCTTTACACATAGCCGACAGGCACAATGGAACATTTCAGTCAATGTAGTAGAGGTGCATAGCGAGTGAGTTCAGAGTATTTGACATTATTTCGACTTTACAGTCGGATTAGAAAGGTGATTACGTGACCGTTTCCGATCCTATTAGGATGGTCTTTGTTTGCACCATCCGTGTCCATACCTAAGGTACTAACCAGTATTGAGGTTCATGCCCCGGATCAAACACCGACGCAGGCATACGCGTTGGCCCAGAGCTTGGTGCAGTCGCTACCGATGGATGGGTTCCAGGTCGTCATCTGCTTGACAGTGATCCCCACTCGTTTGGCAACCACATCGCAAGTCTCGCCCGACTTGACATACTCAAACTTCTTGCAGTTGGCGACGAGGCTGCCCTGGGTGGGCTGGGGCGTCTGGATGCCGTTGCCAGGGTTAGTCGGCGTCGGGGTGAAGCCGACGACGTGGACACAGGCGTACACACTGCCCCAAAGATTGGAGCAGCCGCTGTTGAGGGTATTCCACTGGGCGAACTGGGCGACGCTGATTCCGTTGGCGTTGGCGATCTTGGCGCACGAGTCCCCGTCGCTCACGAGGTGGAATTTGTCGCAGTTACTTGCGATGCCGGGCTGCGTGGGCTGAGGGGTTTGGATGCCGTTGCCGGCCTTGGTGGTCGGGGTCGTCTGGGGCACGGTCGGGGAGCTGCCAATGATGCCGATGCACGCGTAGGTGTCAAGCCAAAGGTTGGTGCAGCCGCTGTTGAGGCCGTTCCATGAGACGATGTCGGCGTTGCGGATGTTGTTTTGTTTGGCAATAGAGGCGCAGGAGTCGCCGCTCTTGACCATGTAGAACTTGTTGCAGTTGCTTAAGATGCCGGTGTGAACGGGCTCAGGGGTTTGGACACCATTACCGGCCTTGGTGGTGGTTGTTGTCTGAGGGGCGGTTAGAGAGCCGCCGATTATGCCGATGCAGGCGTAGGTGTCGAGCCAAAGATTGGTGCATCCGCTGTTCAGTCCGTTCCAAGAAACAAGGTCGGCAGTGCGGATGCTGTTCTTTTTGGCAATGGAAGCACAGGTAGCACCATCCGCAACCATGTAGAACTTGTTGCAGTTGCTGACGATACCGCTGTGAACGGGCTCGGGAGTCTGGATGCCGTTGCTGGGAGCGGTAGTAGTCTTGACCGGAGCAGATGTCGCCGAGGGGTTTCCGCCGATCAGACCAACGCAGGCATAAGTCTCGCCCCAGAGGTTGGTGCAACCACTATTCAGGCCGTTGAAAGAGGCGAACTGGGCTACGGTAAGGCCATACTTCTGGGCGATGGCAGAGCAAGAGTCACCAGACTCAACAAAGTGGAACTTATTGCAGTTGTTGACCAAACCACCCTGCACTGGCTCAGGGGTCACAACTCCGTTACCAGCAGAGGTAGTGGTTGTAATAACGGGGGCTTTAGTGGTGGTAGAAGGAGCAGTGGTGATAACGGCCTTGCTTGTAGTTGAGGCGACGGTAGTGGTGGTCGTCTCCTCCTCCTCGGGAGGAGGCGTGGGCTCGTTGTAAGCTTCAACACAGTAGCTGTTGCCGTACTTGAGACCAGAGCAGTCCGAGCCAATGGTAGGGTTCTGTGAAGATCAGTACGTGCCAGGAGAAGCATCTTCACTAAGGTGCAGTGAGTACGTACCCAGCGACGGAAAGCCTTAATGTCGATCCAGTTGAAGTCGAGAAGCTCTTGACAAGTCTGAGACCCGTCGTAGTCAGCCCACCACGAGCAGTACCATGTGGTATCAGAGGCGTGTGGTAGGCCGGGCTCCGCGCCATCTCTGGCACGAAGAGGAACGGCGGCGGCAGAAGTCAGGCCAATGACTTGTGCCACGATGGTGGCGGCAGCCAGTTGCTTGAAAGTGGGAATTGCCATGTTGGTAATGAAAGAATGACTGAAAGTAGGAAATAACGAGGGGAGACAAGCTCAGAGCAAGGGAGTGTCGACGAGGAAGGTAGATCTGTAAGTCTGGATGACCACTCGAGATGTCTAATCCTTTTATTTACCAACGAGATATTTTGATTTCTCATAATTTGGTAAAATTCTCTTCGAACACTACAAGACACATCATGCGATATGATGCCCGAGCCGCCGCTCGCTCGCTTTCGGAGCTTGCCCCTCTTTACCCGCCCAAAGTTTCGTCTCCAAGACTCAAACCGCGGAAACTAATGACTCTGGCTTACTCCGGAATTTCGAAGGAAGCGGGACCAGCCACAACGTTGCTGCTCCTACGGCGGGTGTCGGAGTTCACCTGATCAGCACGCCGCTTGGTCGAGGGATGCCCGGACTCTTCGGAGGTCTAGATGGCAAAAGCTGAAATCCGGCCCACATCGCGTGAAAAGCTGAAGGAACTTGTGCTACGCCTCTGGTGGGATACCCATTCGTACCTAGTCTAGTTGAAGTCAAGATAATCTGATAAACTCCTTGCCGATGCTCTGGACCCCTGCGTTCCCACTGTTTACCCCTGATCGTTTGTCCTTTAAATGCGCCCAGCCGGCGGGCCGATCTTGGCAAGCTTACATGTCAGATTGCCCCAAAAGTACCTTTCAACGACTTGGCTTCTGATTCTTGTCAACTTGACCGACTCCTCTTCATAACCTGAAAATTACCGTTGCCTTGATAGTCCAACCAATGAGATTCTTGACGAAATGGATCGTGAACCAACGGAACGAATAAATCTGGTGGCGTGACTTTGGGAAACGAAAATTTCGACCATGCATGCGTGTGATAGGTTTCTTCCATTGTACAGGATGACTGCATCCACTGTAAGCGAGATGCGAGACTAATGTAAGGTCCCAACACGTTTAGATCCACCTCTGATGACCCATACCTCCAATGTTCAATTTTCCCGTCTGCCAGACTGCCATGCATAATTCTTCACCTCAAACCCCCGAAACTTCGACGTTTCCGGAAAAGAGATTCATTACGTACATAAATCTGCCTCTGGGTTAACACTTCTTTCTGGCAGGCATCTTCAATGTGTCTAGACCTCGCTGTAGGGCCATGACAGCCATGCCCTCTCCAAAGTCCCGCTTGGCAAGATGGCTCAGGCGCCTCACATCCCTCATGGAGGTAGAAGAAACCGAGCCGCTGTTGATGTCCCTCGCAATAGCCACGATCTCGTCTCGCATGGCTCCTCTCTTAGTCTTCTGCACGGACTCGATCGTGGCCTGAGAGTCAAATTCGTCGAATTGACCACCGAGAAAAGAGATGGTCTGCGTCTTGGATGTCCCCAGTCTCTTGCTCGAGAGGCGACCATCAACGAACGTGATCATATCGTCCGCCTGAGCTCTGCGCCGGCTGTAGTGGGCATACTCCATGGCAGTCGTGATCTTTTCCAGTCGGCTAGGCTCCGCCGTCTCGCGAAGCACCGTCATCCTGTCAACCAAGCGCTCAATAACGGTGGGGTGTCCTGGTCTCGCGCTGTCATCTTCGTCGCGCCAGAGACCTCCAAGGAGCTTTTTTGCGTCGTAGACAAGGTCGTCTCTTTCTCCCCATCCCTCGATCTCTCCAATTTCGGGATTCATCATGTCTGAAATGCGACCACTGACACCAGTCAGGGTTTTCAAACGGTCGACGTGGAGAACAAATTCTTCAAAGTTGCAGTCTTTGCAAGCTTTGGCTATCTTGCAGTCGGATCCGTTCTGGTCATAATCAGAGCGGTACATGTCGAAAAACATGAGAATCTCATAAGCGTTGAGTTCGGCCAATAGAGGCAGCGGCGCGAAGGCCAGCAGCAGGAAGGTCGGAAGCTTCATGATGATGTTGTTGTTGTCGTCTTGGGAGCCAGAAAGAAGAAGACTGTCTTCAGAAGATTTCTGGTGTTGAGAGAAGGTGGGATAAGGAGAACTGGCCGGAGAAGGTGTGAAGATGTGGGAACCAGCGGATGCTCTAGATGAGGCAACATGGAGCATCGAGGGCCCAGTGCTCATCTTCACCCGTTTGCAAATTTTAGCCACGCCACCCTTGGCAATAAAAGCTCCCTGCAAAGCTATGCTGCTGCTAACTCCATCGGACTTGAATCCGCCGAACAGGAGATTACTCTATAACTTAGAGTTAATATTGATCGTACGTGAGATCCACACGCTTTTCGCCGGCCTGTCACGCGAGGAATTGTTTAGTCCTAAGGTTCCAAAATGATCTAGGCGAGTCGATGTCAGGTTGTCATCTTTGTTGAACCTATTCAGACATAAAACTCATTTGGTAAGATGCCCCGGCTTCGGAATGGTTGTTTGTCTGCCTAACCTGGTGTGGGGGCGGGTGGCGCACGGCGGTTCCCGGGAGCTTCCCGTCAGCTAAATTGATACCTTATTTTAACATCTACGGAAGCGAGCCTCGCCTCCATCCAGCGTTCCTTGCAGCGCCTTCGCAGGTTAACCACTAGTGCTTACTTTGTTATGGAGAATCAACCTAGTGAAGTAGTTGTGGTAGTGTCTCTCAAACCCCACAGCTCTTGATCCACAGGTTGCCCGAAAAGACCCTCAATAAGCCGGAATACCAAATCAAGTCAGGATTGCCTGTTGGGGCCTCGGAAACACCATTGCAAACTGTGGGACTGTGGATACCTGAGGCAGTGGCTGGTGCCCCAGGCACCAGCTGCCTGATCCACCTCCTGGTTGATCCAGCCCACCGCAGCCACCTTCACCACAACATCACCAACCAACCGTCAATACCAGTCGTATTGCCTCATTGCTTGCCTCGTTGGTCCAGATGAGCAGTGTGTACTGCCCACACAAACCCTAAAATCTGACCTTGGCATCGATCTCTCGGCTGGAACTTCGGTCCCTTAATCCTTAGTAGGTGGATCAAGGCGAATGCGGGCCACGAACTTCTGCATCCTTGTACGCCGACAACCACGGGCTATTGATCGTGAAGTCGACCCCGTGGTGTCACTCATAGCTTGGCGTAAGGCGTCTAGAACCGTTGTCTAATTACGGTTTATTTCGAGAACCATGAATCTGTGGACAGAGCCATCGACCTCGGGCTCGGTCCGATCATCAGCGTCAATTTTGTTTCTAACTTCGTGATGTTGCCTTTGGGAATTGGGCCCCTGTGTAAGATGATTTACCCGCTCGCGTCTGTGGCTCGAAAGTCTTCAACTGTCCTTATGGATTGGAAAACATTATTTATCTACTAGTACCTTAACCGTCCCTCATTCGACACTTGTAGCCAAGGAGACAACCATTCTTTCAATGATACACTCATTCGTTCGTTCATTCTCTCACTCTTTCATTCACTCACTTATTTTTCTCTCTACCTACCTTATGTACTAGCCACATTTACTTCCTCTTTTGTATGGTGAAACCATCATCATCTAAACCTCTCTTTCGAAGATGTGGCGGCACTCACTTTCGGCCGGAATTGGCCTTTTATGCCTTGCCGGCAACGTCTTTGCAAAAAATGAGGCTAGCCCAATCAACCCGTGTCCGATTCGGTGCAGCATTTCCGGGCCGAACCCTCTCAACTGGACCTACCTCCATGGCACCGCCGCACTGAAGCGCTGCGAGCAACCCATGCTTTTTGATACAATGCTGGAGACTAGCATCGTTGACTCCAACAAACACATCACCTTCCGGGCCTGTACGGCATCCGAAGAGTCCACGATCAAGACCGAGGACTACAAGCCTGTTCCCTTTACATTTGGAACTCCCGAAGTTGAGAAGGACGAGGAAATTTCTGCCCCAGCGGAGGACTCCGAGCCTGTTCCTACTCCCTCCGTCTCTACAGACTCGGAAAAACGCTCCCTAAGTACCATCAAGTCGACATGCGCATCGGATATGCACAAGACCTCAAACTTGACCAGCGCTTTCTATCATGAATGGGTGCCAGACGACAGCAGCAGAGTCGATGGCAGCATCAATGACACTGCCTTGGCGATCGAGACCCTCCAAAAGCATTTAGACGCAGCCGACAATTGCAAGTCAGCTATCATGTTCGCAAAGGTCCGCGAGTCCATCTCAGGTCTCTTCATCGGCTCTGCGGTAGACAAGATGAGCGCTGTGCCCTTCATAGAGAAGCTCGCTAGCAAGGTGCAAACCAGAGAGTTTTACGAAGCTGGTCGCTTTTCTGTCTCGAACTGTCAGACGGTGCGGCCCTCAGTCTGGAGAGTCGGTATCATTGCCGACCTCCAGGGCAACATTACTGCTGTTCAGGAAGCCTTGGCTGACTGGAAAGATGCCAAGTGCGCCAGGAGCCCAGATCTCACAGTTGAATGGGTGGACAGAGAGATTGCGCTCTGGTCTATCAAGAGTCCTCTGAACGGTACAGTTCTCAACGGGACAGATGGAACCAGCAACTCGACCGCCATCTCAGGGAGAGGAGTTTTGCAATCTCTTCATCGCCGGGCTGAGTGTCGAGCTGAGAGAGTCGAAGCTGGCGATCTTTGCGACGCCCTGGCCAAGCGTTGCGGTATCAGCACCACGCAGTTGAACAAGTACAACAGCGGCGTGAAGAACTTCTGCAATACGCTCATGCCCAAGCAGCATGTTTGCTGTTCTGAAGGCGACCTTCCAGACTGTAAGTCAAAATATAGGATTCTTCTTATACTCAAGCTATTGTACACAAGCTAACTATTGAGAGCCACAGTCCGACCGAAGCCTGATGCTGATGGATTCTGCTTTTCTGTCGAGGTCGAAAAGGACGTTGGATGTTGGGATTATGCAGATGCGCACTACCTCGAAACAAGCGACATTGAGAATTTCAACAAGAACACCTGGGGTTTCGCCGGCTGCAAGAACCTTCAACCAGGACAGAAGATCTGCCTGTCCAAGGGCGAGCCTCCCATGCCCAACCCCATCTCCAACGCAATCTGTGGTCCTCAGAAGCCCGACGGAGAGCCCCGCGGAAACAAGAACCTCACAGACATGAATCCGTGCCCGCTCAACGTCTGCTGTAATGTCTGGGGCCAGTGTGGTATGGACCCCGACTTCTGTACAGAGGCCCCTGCCGACACTGGCGCGCCAGGCACCTCTCAGCCGGGCAAGAATGGCTGCATTTCCAACTGCGGCATGGAAATCACCAACAACGACAAGGGTCCTGCTAGCTTCTCGCACATCGCCTACTTCGAGGCCTGGAACAAGAACCGCCCCTGTCTGCACATGGACGTCTCGAGCGTGGACACCAAGAAGTACACCCACATCCACTTCTCTTTCCCTGATGTCACTCCCGGGGACTTCAAGATTGATAGCAGCAAGCTGCAGGATCAGTTCGATTTGTTGAAGAAGATGACTGGTATCAAGAAAATCGTGTCTTTGGGTGGTTGGGCCTTCTCTGCCGAGGGCGATACCGTTCACATCCTCCGCGACGCTGTCCTCCCAGCTAATCGTGCCACCTTCGCGGCGAACGTCGTCCAGTTTGTGAACGACCATGGTCTCGATGGCATCGACTTTGATTGGGAATATCCCTCTGCTCCGGACATCCCCGACATTGATCCGAGCTCCAACCCAAACGAAGGCAAGGACTATCTCGAGTTTCTGAAGATGGTTAAGCGTCGGCTGGGGAACAAGTCTGTCTCCATCGCGTCACCTGCATCCTATTGGTACCTCAAGCAATTCCCTATCAAGGAAATCGGCCAGGTCGTTGACTACATCGTCTATATGTCCTACGATCTTCACGGACAGTGGGATCATGGGAACAAGTGGTCGAGTCCAGGATGCGAGGGTGGTAACTGTCTTCGTTCTCACGTCAACCTCACCGAAACGAAAACCTCTCTTGCCATGATCACCAAGGCGGGTGTTCCTTCGAACAAGGTGTTTGTGGGTATCGCGAGTTACGGACGTAGCTTCCACATGGCCGAGGCGGACTGCACAGGACCCGAGTGCACATTCACCGGATCCAGGACGGAGTCAGATGCCATGCCAGGCTTTTGCACAGATACTTCCGGTTACATCTCCGCCGCCGAGATTCGTGAGATTCTCTGGAACAAGGACATGATGGACGCTCGGGAGTGGCATGACAGGGAATCCGACTCTGACATCGTTGTTTACAAGGAGAACGAGTGGGTGGCCTGGATGAACGATGACACCAAAAGTTCGCGTATCGACCTGTACAAGGGCCTCAACTTTGGCGGTGTCTCTGATTGGGCTGTCGACCTCGACAAGGATTATGGCGACAGCGGTATCGGTAACGGCGACAGTGACGACTCAAATCTCTCCGGTGGTAAAAACTGCCCCCTGAGCAAGACCTACAACGACCTCGATGAGCTCGCCAAAGATGACAGCGTGTCTGACGACTGCAAACCCGTTCTCGCCATCAAAATTCTCGAAAAGATGCTCGACAAGTCTTTGGCCAACTACGATGATGTCGACAATGGTTACGACAAGAACTTTGCTGCCTATCGTCGTGTCATGAAGGACTCCGCCAAGCAAGCCATGGCCAAGTTCACCAGCTGGCACGATGGCAAGTACAGGGACTACTTCGACTGTGATATCAAGGCGGACGGAACCCATACCGAGAACTGGTCGGGCCCCTGTTCCGAGATGAAGAGTCACATTGCGGTTGTCGGCATGAACATCATCAAACTCACTCTGAGGGACGAAGACGGCTTCTGGAACGCTGTAGAGGAAGACACTGGCTGCATCGAGGACTGGATCGAGTTCGACTCCCTCAAGATCAACACGGATCCGAACGAGATTGCTCAGAATTGCCCGCCTCCCGTCGGCACGATCCCACAACCCTGCACGCCGTCGTTGATCCTCTCAGTGGAGGGCTATCCCAAGCTGAAGTCCGACTTTGATGTCCCGGATCCCAAGGACATCATCAAGGACGTCAAGACTAATTTGGATGAGATTCGCACCAGTATCTCGTCCCGGTTCTTCGACGTAGTCGCGGGGATTTGGGATGGTGGCAACAGTGATGTGCTCCAGGTGTTTTCCGTCCCCATCTTCCTCATGGCGCAGGCCATCCAGTCCATGGAAGACGCCAAGGCAAAGGGCGGTGAAATTATCAAGGAGGAGAAGGAAGCTCTGATCCTGAACATTATCTCGGCTCTGCTGTTCTTCATTCCGTTCGTTGGAGAATTTGCCGCCATGGCTGCCGGCGCAGCAACGGTCGCCCGCATGATTGCCATCGGAGGCTTGGTTGGCAACACGGCTTTCAGTATTTCTGAAATTGTTGATGACCCTTCCAATGCGGGTATGGCTGTCATGGCGCTGCTAAGTGCTGGTCGCGTCCGTAAACCCAGGGACTTCATCGACCTGGGATCCGCCAGGAGAGCGCAGACCAAAGCAGGCGTCAGCAAGATGGGACAAACCTTCAAGAAGCACGACGAATCGTTGCAGAAGGTGCTCGGCAACTGTCGTAAAGAGGGCAATAAAGACGACGAAAAGGAGCCCAACGCGTGCAAGTTGAAGCGGGAGCTGCCGCAGTCCGACCTGGTCATGCGAGATGTTGTGCGCGAGAACCACATGGCCTGGGTCGGAAAGAGAGCCGCCAATAATAACAACAAGGGAAATTGTCCCACTACCGAACACGAGACGACAACGACCAAGATCGAAACCGTCATGACCACTCCCGACGTCACTTGTAAGAAGGAATGGACTCAGGCCTGCTACCACTACAGCTCAGTCATGAGCGTCCACACCAACACTCCCGACATGGTCCGATGGACGTGCTGGGCGACCGCGGAGACCGGAAGAGACGGATTGGCAACGGATCGTTGGGGTTACTGGCCGCGACAGACCCGCGCCAACTTCAAGATGCCCGCAAAGGCGCAGCACCACTGGGATTGGGGTGAAGAGTGGACAGAGCACGACGACTGCGAAAGAGACGAGTTTCCTCCACGCCATTGGTGGGGAGCGATCAACACGGGCAAGAAGAACAAAAAGGGCGAGATCAGGTTCAAGGCGATCGAGGGCCAATTCGTCCGGCTCATTCCCGCGAAGCAGAACGGAGGAGCCGGCTCAATGTGGAAGCAGTTCTGCGAGATCAACGACGGGTACAAGCAGAAGCTCCCCGGCCTGGAGCAGATCAACGAGAAGCACGTCACGACCGATAAGATCAGCAAGATTAACCAACAGATCAAGGGAGGCACGACAACGTACACCACCAGCCTGAAGGTCACCATACCCAACGCCGTCTTCGAGATCAAGCACTGGGAGCAGGTGCCGGCCAAAGACGACGGCCTCTGGGACAATCCGTGCTGGCCGAGCATGCTGCGGCCTGATGATCCAGGTTATGCCCTCCTGACCAATGACGACTGGTACAACAGGAATCCAAATGAGCAGCAGTTCACAGCGGCTTATCACAACGAGCCACCCAAGGCCCTGACTCAGGGCAAGACCAGGAAGAGAGCGCAGAATGGCCGGCCGACCATTGCCGTCCGCGCGCCCCACAGTCCAGACGCCATTTACGTCGATGACCTCGCGAAGACGTGCGCGGAGCCTGGGATTGACGATGATAGCGACGTCGAGCCTAGCGTTCTGAGGGAGAGGGAGGTGTTTGTCGACGAGGATGGAGAGGAGTACATGGAGTTGTTGCCGGAGGATGAGTATGAATACGACTTTGCCGCGCTGGAGCATATGCCAACGCCGTCCATTCCTCGGACAGCTGAGGCGGTCGCCACGGCATATATTGAGTACAAGGAAGAGGTTGAATATGCCACACCAGGATCTGCTATTGCAGCAGACTTGCCCAAGCCGACAAGGGGCATGGCATGAATAAAAAAGGGAATATAACTACCCCCGTCACAAAATGTATGAAGTTGCGGAGAGACATCCGTAGAGATGGACGGACGTCCAAAATAGTTTCCTTAGTACACTTGGTTTCAATGTGTCGTAGGGTATGTATGGCGTTAATTGCTGCCCGTAATTAACGGCGTCGTTTTTGCGACAGCTTTCTTCTGAATTTCATAATTGGGCGTACTACATGAACTTAAGCCAGTATTAATACCGAATGTTACGGAATGATACGTGATTCATTACTACTCTAAGTAGCGATATACTGACGTCATTCAGCACTCGATAGGATAGTTATTCTACTTGACCGTAAGAAAATTCTTTCCGGAATCAACCTACTGAGAATGTACTGCTCAGTAGGTCCCAATTTCAAGCTGGCCATCCTCCACACTCATTATTTATCAGGCCCAAGGCTGAAATTTGCTTTCAATCCCATTCCCAGAACGGACGTAGGGTTGTGAATTGCGTTGCATATACTATGTCAGGCAGTGGAACTTGGCAATCTTTTTCCAGTTTCGAATCTTGATAATCTTCAATCCTTGTTTTTCCTCGGGACTTTTTGTTGTGCCACTTTTGTGATCGATGCCGCACTCTGGCGCCCCATGCATGGTACCGGTAAGCCTCGTGCTTTTGTATAGTTTCGAAGCGCTCATCCTTAGCCTCAATCTCAGTCGGTAAATGTGGTTTTCCAATAAGCGAAGCCGAGGGGTAGAATCTAGCGTCATCAAAGAATACCCATGCCCTTTGTTCGTAGGTTGTAAGGAGTTTTAGAGTAATGCGCGAATGAAGTATCTGGTACATACCCGGGCCATCTTGAAAACCCTCTTTCACTGCACCAAATGAACCAAGGTCTAGACTTTGATAGAGCACGCCACCCCGTCTGGAGCCATGGCCTGGACGAATGTCGTCAAACCACTGCTTGAGGCGGTCCCGACCAAGTTGTCCGGCTCTAGCGGTCCGAAGAAGGATTGTGACGAGATCGAAGCCATATGGCTCTAAACCTGATATAAGACTAGGTGAGCAGCCAAAATCGTAGGTATAGGCCCCACAGTCAACGCATAGGCTATCTGGGTAGAGCAAACCGGGGGACTGAGATGAAGGAGAGCCTAGAGTAACTTCTGGCAGCCAGGAATCGCCGCACTGGGCAAACATGGCCACGTAAAGAGTATCCAGGTATGTGCAAACACACAGAACTGCCGGTAGGTCCCATTGTTGGAAATTTCGACCACTGTATCGATGCAGGGCCTGTTTGCACAGTTGTTGGATATCGCAATTCATCAGAGAAGTGAGGTAGTACCGTAGAAAGGCTCGTAGCAGTCGCTTTCTCTCTGAACCTGTGAGATTGGCTGCATTGAATCTAGGACTGACTGGCTGACCTTTGAAACTCAACTGAGGATCTATTCGAGACGAAAGACATAAATACTCCCGCGGTGGAAAGACAGCAGTGGTCTTCGTAAGATAGTCCTCAACTTCCCTCTCGCCTAATTTTTCTTGGCATCGACTATTAGTGTAATACGTGGGCTACTACTAAAATCCTTAACAGCGGAAAACCCTTCACTTATCTCCTCCGGCGCCCTCCCGGGATGGACTCACAGCCTCCGGCGGGCTCTGAACCATCCCCTGCCTCTTTGGCCGGCCCTATACGAGGCTCCGGGCCCCCTCCAAAGCCATCCCTAACCTCAAGGGCTAAACGCCGCCGCGGTACCAAGGCCCAACCACACCGGCCCAGCCTCGCGGGAAGCCAGCCTAACGCCTCTACAATAACCCCCTTAATAACTAAGGGGCCCTTAACCGTGACTAGGACAGCTACTAGAGCTATCCTTATAGTCCTTAACAAAGAGGCTAAGTACTATAAGGCCCGAAAGGACGTCTTTATAGCTATCGCCTAGTTTATAAATAATATAATCTTTTATTTTAAGGGGCCTAGGAATTAGTGTTACGCCCGCCGCAACTTGTCACTGTGGGCGCGTAGCTATATATGCAGAACAAGGGACAATGATGACCGGAGTCATCATTATCGAAGCTTTTGCTTTGTGCCACAGTTGGTTGCCTTGTCCAGCTCGTAACAATTAGATCGTAAAGGAGGTTATAACCTATATAATCTAAGCCTTAAAAAGATTGTAAATAATAAGATAGTAACGCTAACCCTAAGCCGGAACTAGGCCGACGTAGCGGCCTCGGCTTTAACTATAGCCGCAGCCCTAACCCCAGCCCGTACCTAAAACCTAACCCGGACCTAAGTGTTACGACCCAACATGCATGACCAAGAACAGGGCCTGCCCCGCAGGCTCGCGGCGGTTACAACACACCACATATGCAGGAGACAAGTTGGTGGTGGTGGTGATGGTTTATTTAACGTCTCGAGCGACAAGAGACGTGTCGGGCGCGATGCCGACATGGTCTATGCTAATCTAAACTATGTTACAGGGCTACGTCTTCACCTAACGCTCCTGTTCAAACCGCTCCAAAATGAAGCAGATCTTCTCACCTGACCAGAATTCTCTTATCCGCCATCCTTTTCCCGGGTCGCTTCATCCACAAGGAAAGTAGTTCGGATAGTGCTAGGAAAAACCACAAGGGGGAAAAACCTAGCACGGCCGGTCGTGATGTGGTTCCACGCCTTTCTCTTCTCCACCTTGCATTGGAGCGAAGCAAAGAAGGCGAACAGCAAATCGGCTCCCAGCCGATGGCAATACAGGAGCCCGTAACAATCGCTCTCCGTTACTGCCTGAACAAGTCAGGCTCTGGCAGGAGCGAAAGTGTTCAAGACCTTCCAGACAGAAGGTCTGGCACGGAGACAGAAAATGACCTAACTGCTGTGCCGGGGCTTTGGTGTGTGGACAAAGGCAATTCAAGCCCTTGTCGGAGTGGTGGCTCGCACGCGGCGGGCACAGCGCGCCGCAGGCTAGTGGACGCGCAGATCGGCGAGAGCGAGAGTGACCTTCAAAGCTTCTAAACTCTCGCCCTACTTCACTTTCGGGGGAGGTCTCGTCGTGTTTGGTGTTGTGAAAGGAGAGAAGGGGAGGGGTGCTGTGGTGGTGTTGAGGGACGAGTCCGAAAGTAAAGGGGGAAATGATAAGACCCGTTAGGGGTACGGGGCGAAGCCCTGCGAAAACCTAACAATTCTTAACACAGTGTGCCAAGAAAAGGTTTTTACAGGAGAAGGTCATGCAGGAGACAAGGGACACTAGGCACCCTCTCACGGAACGGAAGAACTATGGTATAAGTCACGTGATGATAAGATAAGCCATGAGCGACCATGGTGGGGCCATGAGCGCTCATGCCAAGTAATGAGCGCTCACCCGATCAGAGGGACTGATCATTGACAAGGGATATGTTCAGGACCAGGACTTGTATATAGGATGGACTCGAGCCGGACTCTAGGACAGACTTTCCATAGTTCTTCAGCAATTAACTTCGTATCAGATCTTATGATCGCTTTCAGCTATCTTTCCTGAGAACCTCTTTGATAAGACTACGATTGATCACCGCAGCCTTCCCTTACCTTACGACTTACAGACATAGCTTCCCTGAAGCTATCCACGACTACGATTACTGTTACCAGTTCCGCAGCCTCAACTTCTGCAAACATACCTCACTACGACTAGCTGGCCGTAACACATATCGACGCCGCCGCGACAAAGGGTAACGTTATCGTAGTAAGATAATGTAGTACGTTTATTACTACTGAGCTTCGAGGACGAAGCCTAGTTAGAAGGGGCGCCCTATTAGAGCCCTCCTGGATAGGGGTTAGTTAGGGGTAATAAGGAGTCTAAGTAACAAAGGAGCAGCTTAGATATATATATAGCGCAGGGAGTATACGTCGAGGGAGGAGCAGATTTCAGTAATTTATTATTCTACCCCTAACTATAGTTGGCCTCTAAGAGCTTCTACCCTGCGTTAACAACCCTAACTTGATAAATACTAAGCTACACAGCATCTGAGGAGCCGAGTGGCTTGAAATGTAATTTTTCGTAGTGAAGGTAACTTAAAAATACTGAAAAGACAATATAAATTCCCTGGGTATCTACCGCTTAAATTCCCCCCTTATTTTCCACTTATTTCTTATGCCGTGTATGTACTTGAGTGGTGCTCGTCTAGGCTAGACTACTCAGATTCGTTGTCTAAACAACACGAAGTATGTCCTGTTCTCAAATCTTGCCCAAGACTCGCTTGACCAACGACTTCTTCCTTGGCCTTGGAGAAGGCTGGTTGATCGACCGTGTCTGTCGCAAGACGCCGAGCAAGGTAGCAATCGCCAGCGCCTCAGCCTCTCCATTGAGGTCTTCCGAAAGTAACAAGATGCCCTCGCTATAATCGTTAGGCAGCGCGAAACCGATGCCGACGTGATGGTAGATAGCATGGACTGCTGGCTCCCCGCCGCTCAACTCCGCGTCAGTGTCGACCAAAGTGTATCGCAGAGGCCCATCTTCTGTTGGGCGCGCTTGCCATTCCAGGTTCGAGGGAACAGTAATGCTTCCGTCCCGCGAAGTTTGCGAAATGGTGAACCATGGATGTCGCACGGGGTTGGCGGTTGCGTGCATCTTGGTATCTGGGACGGGGAATGAGCTGGTCACTGCCAGCTCCAAGTCTTGGTCCATGCTGTGTGGCGCAACGCGAAAACTGCCAGTGTCCTCGAGAGGTAGGTGCCTTTCGAAAGTATTAGTAATCGGGTCCTCATGATGTGTGAGGAAGGGATAGGTTTGGAAGAGACTTACAAGATGACAATCTCACCATTATGGCTGGGCACTCTCCTCTCCACTGTCGCAGCAGTACCCTCAAGGCCCTTTTGGAAGTTGACCAGATAGCGAACTTGCGCGTCAGTTCCGTCTCCCGATGGTCGCTTCATCATGGCCAGACCAAGCTTATACTTGCTGCTGCCGATAGGCTCCTTCTTAACAGCCTTGTCGTAGTTTTCATTATAATCGTAGAGGGGCAAATGAGTAGAGGCGTCTTTATGGCTTGGAACATAAACGACGCGGGTGAGATGGGCCGGCGTGGGCGCGAGGTGACGGCCCAGCCTCTGATCAAGGGCAGAGTCAAAAACCCCCGCCAGCTGAACGTGGTAATAGTTTCCGTACGCTGGGAGGGTGGCCATATTGGTGATGACAGACGCAGACAAGAGTGAAGTCGATGCCATGGGATCGGGCGTTGTCTTATCAAGGCGGTATGGTGGTTAGGTTGAACAAAGCTTAGTTGGACGACTGGAGGATCGGGTTGGCCTGATGAGGAATGGTGTCGTTGGGGTCAATGATGCGACGATAACGGACGGCTAGGAGCAATCAATCGAAATAGTTCATGTCAATGATAGGAACAACAGATGGCTTGTTTAACTATTGTCGGCTTCAGCGTGCGGTCGAGATGTGCTATGCATTCAAAGAACACAATGGCAATTGACAGAAGCAAGGTATCATCAACACAGCGATGACCCAACAAACAGACACGAAGGGAGATGTTTTCCCACCGGGCGCAGATTTCTTGCCCAGTTTCTCAGGTAGCTGAGGAGGAATAATGTCATGGCATGTGACGTCGAAATGCAGCTAACCCCGACAGTGTAGCGTGATTGTCTCACTAGGGGAGAGCTAGAAATTGTTAGCCGAGCTCCCGAAATACTTAGTCCCAACGCCAATGAGGGACGTGATCGTCGTAGTTGATGTGCCGGCATATCAGACCAACCAGCTCAGCCAACCAGCGGTTAGTCATACGGCATGATTTGTCAAGGGAAACAAAATTCCGTCTAGAGTTACACAAACACCAAAAGTCCTGAGGCTGGTCAGTATCATGACTTTCCGAGGATCAACCGGCTGCGGGCATCCGAACGGGGCAAGGCCGGTCGATAATATGCTGACCCGGCGCGTGGATAACTCCGCTACCTCCGCCTCAGCTCCACTTGTTTGCTATCCTCAAGGCGAAAACCACAACGAGGCCCGTGATGTTGCGCATGTATAGCAAGATACTCTTTGTGGCGACCTGATTACTCAATGGAAAGTGACGGCAACTATATTCCGTCTCACTTCCCCTTGAGCTTATTTTATCTACGGCACGATGCTCTCAGGATCATTGAGCATACGAAGCTTAGAACCTAAGGTTAGTCAGATCCTTAGCTTGCCGGTGGGTTCTATTGCCTCTTTGGGAATCGATCGCAACTATTCTGTACAGGGATTATCGAATGCTGCCATCGTGCCACCTAAACGCCCTTTCTAATTCCTTGAAGAAAACCACATCCTTTTTTTCCAAGAGTCACGTAAGAAACCTCTCTGCAAAAGCATGCCAAGTAGTCAATGGACTACGGGGACTAGGGAACACTATCTAGGGCGCACCTGCATACTTCGTCGAGCGATCACCTCTTATATATTACCCACTTAGTACTATACATCTAAAGCATAGTGGCCCGGCAAGAGCCGGATAAAGAATGGACGTACTATCTCAAACGGGGTTAGTAATCTGCTATACTAACTAGACGCGACGCAAACCAAAGCCATCAGAGCGATGGTCCCCGTATACAGAACTACGCCTGTACCGATCCTACAGCGCGAAGCGGCTCTACCCCCAGCAGAGGTGATACTAGACGCGAAGCTCCACACAGCGTCCACCAGAATCCATCGTCTGGACGAGCGACACCCTCTCCGAACGAGACTCAGGGACAAATCAGGACCAGACTCACGGCTACGACGAATAGCAAGCCTCGTAAGCAAAAATATCGAATACATCGATCCGTTAGAACTCCCCCCTTGGGAGTAACTAGCGGACTGGCAGACAGCCCTCGCCAGGGTCGGCTACGAACCTAATAAGACCAAAGAAGAACAGGCCATCTCTTTTACAGGCAGGATAGTAACTTTCTCCAAGCGGGATATTGTTATCTATACTAACGGGTCCCAGATGTCAGACGGCAACAGCACCTCCGCCGGAGCAGGCTAGGTAGGGTACCAAGCTATACGACAGATCTTCCGCAGATCCGAACCACTCGGCTCCCAAACTAAGGTGTATAACGCGGAGGTATATGCTGCGTATTACGGCCTAATAGAAGCTACCCGGGCTCCTACGGCTCGTATAGTAAATAACATCCACATCTACCTCGACAACCTCGCAGTCGCGGCTAGACTATACTCCTAGAGCACAGGAAGCAGCCAGGCTAGATTTAGGGCCTTCAATAGGCTCTCTTCCTCCTAGACTCGGAGATAAAGAGAGAGCTGGACAACCCCCGGCAGGGTTTATGTTTCGTGGTGCCCTGGGCACACGGGAGTACCAGGAAATGAAGAAGCGGATGCTCTAGCCAAGGAAGCCTGCAAACTAATCCCAAAATCACAACCACAGCCCTCATTAGCGTACCTAGAAAGGCAAGCTAAAGTAGCTACCTTCCAAGCCTTTGCCAGAAAATGGCTGTCCCAATGCCCTCGGCAATATACCGACCTCGATAATTCTTCACCCCAAGCCGCCCGAACTCCGCCTCCCTCGGCACTTACTAGGAAGGCTATACGCAACAAGATCCCATCATGGAGACTTTGCAACATACCACGAGAGATTCGCTTATCAAGATACGTTACTCAACTGCAGCTGTGGGAAACCTAAGACACCAGTCCATTTCTACTTCTACAAGCATGGACGCAAGGCTACACCGCGCTACCTCCGCCAACGTATAGCCAAAGCAAGCATTGATTTCTTATTAGGTTCTACTAAGGGAGCCTCTCTTCTATACGAATAGATAGAGGAGACCAATTTCTTTTCTGAAATTTGCCCGAGTCATTAAACAGGAACGTTAGGTAAAGACGGTAGCCTATAACATAGTTTAGATTAGCATAGACCATATCGGCATAGCGCCCGGCACGTCCTTTTGTTACCAGACGTTAAATACATCATCATCATCATCATCATCATCATCATCATCATCCTAGGCCGTGCCTCGCAAGGCAAAATCTTCTCTGAAGGCGGTCACGTACTTTTGCGGATTACCTACCTAGGTACTTACTGTTGCCTTGAGGCTGAAGACGTTGGATTAGGCTAACTTCCGACGGAAAATAATCCCGCCCATCCCCGACGGACAGCATGTCACTGTAATTTTACCCATGTCGACATAAACAGCATGACGCGACTCACGAGTCACAACCTTGCTGGCTGGGCTTTCCATCACCTTACTTCTACTTACATCGAAGAGCAATGAAGACGAAGTTTTTGCACTCTTTGATGATTTTAATACTGCGAACCGGAAGTTATCAATAGTTCCCATGCTTTCATTCTTCTCACGACTAACGGGCGTAGAAAGCAAAGATGCGTGTCTCAAAATTCTGTAAGCGAAGTTATTCTTCAAGTACTAAGTAGGGATCCGGCTAGCTCGAGTTCTTTAGCCAATCATCCTCGCTGAGCATTAGGATGGATCGAGACTATGTGTTCTTGAGAGGGACAGCGGATGAAGCAAACCAGCAGCTCCTACAGGGAGTTCTCAATCTTCGTCTATCTTCAGAATAGCCCGTAGTTAGTATACGGCTACGTTTAGACGGCTTTTCCCGCCGGAGGTCAGTGAAATCTAGATTAAGCCAGCGTTCATAGACGACATAATGCTGAACGTTTGTTACGAAATAGGAATAGCATCAGCACTCTGTAATCAGCACATCACGTGCTTTATTACGTGATTCTCTCATTTGTTCCTGCACCTTTCCTTGCTCGATTCTATTTGGGTTAATACAAGCCACTTTTACCACACTTCATATGCCCATTGCTGCGTGCCATAACTCGTGACAACGTTTCTACAGGGACCATAACACAAGATCCACAATGAGCGAATGCTCAAGCACGGTCCGTGTTCTCGAGTATGAATGGCCTCTTTTCCTTACCGATCATAGTCAAACGGACTTCCGCCCTAGTTGCTCCGACAGTACTCCTCATGAGTGGCCATTCGAACTCTCGATACCAGGGGGATATACCAGAAACCTTTCAGGGGTATAGCCGGTGTAGTATTACTTACTAGCTGACGGCCACGACGATCCGAAGCAATACTTCTTCATCGACGCCTCAGACATACAAGACCATACGAATCAACAGAACGCTGCCAAGTTCAGCATTCGAGCTGATGGACCCGGTGACAGTTGAAGGCATATGGAGTAAGAAACTACGCTACTCAATATCCGTCGGCCATCGCGCCATCGCCCTGGGCACAGCTATTCCTCTCGAGATGCGTTTCGCGCCGCTGAAAGCAGGGACAAGAGTCTCGCAGGCGAAGTGTCAGCTTTTGGAGTCGCACAAAGTTAAGGCTGGTAAAAGTCAATTTACATCCTTCGTCGGCGACAGAGACGTTGCCGAGTGGGAGACACCCGTAAACAATCATGAGAATTTGGAGCAAAGAATTTATAAGACAACGCAGAGTCTTCCCCTTCCTTCCGAGCCGAAAGATTATTCTCCTAATATAGAGGCCCACAATATCAGTATAACTCACCTTCTTTCTATCGAAATTACCATCCAAGAATCAGACAATAGTCCCTTTATAAACAAAGTAAGTACGAGGTACTATATAAATATTCAAACATTTGTTAACAAATTTCAGTACCGCGCATCACTTACCGTCGTGCTCTTTGCATCGTCTCAGATGCCGATTGATACAAACAACAAGTTCGTTCGGTCACTGGGCCCCGATCTCGATGATGACGTGACACCGCTTAGCGGGTTGGACGTGCCACCTGTCTATAGTGCTCACCTACAAGACAAGATTCTGAACAACTTTACCGAATCTTTATCTGCCTAGCAATTCTTAATGAGACATAGACCCCAAGCCATAAAGCCACTAGATTTCATAATTTTGAGAATCGTTACCGCGGGACTGTGAGTGGACGGCGTGGCTCGTACTGCTTTGATGCTACATTTAGTACATTATCCTCTCCCCCAAAATTTGAAGACGACAGTCGATTGCATTAGACAGGAAGCATATGTCCTGGCTGTCTATGTAGTCGAGTTCAAGTCCGGTGGGGAGTACTTCCTGATTCGGGAAGCGGTTCCTGACTACAGGACCCATAGAATCCTCCCTGTTGGTATCACAGGCGTGATACATTTCCTCATGAGGGTGTATCTTCGGCAACAATCACGTCGATGTCCGTGATAATTGCTGTTGTTCTTCTTCCTATTTATATTGTGGGCAGGGGCCGATCGAAGTAGGTGGGGACGGCCTGGGTGGTTGCCCCACCTTAACCGGCCGTGATGACTAAGCCGGTTGTCCCACTTCGCCCAGGGCAGGCGCCAGCCAGCCCACGATACCTACCCATTGCTCCTTATCAGCCTTGCCGTTCCGACACTCCCCGATCCACAATTTACCAAGCTCGGCGTTCGATCCGCTAAGAAGATATATATAGATATACTAAATAGGTCGAGTTTAAACTATAGATTAATATAAAGAAGTATAACTAGACCCGTACTAGAGTATCTAGGAAACAAATTTTTATCTATTTGAAAGCTGGCACGAGATATTAGTTTAAGTCACCGCCTAAGCCTCTCGAATAATCATAATAATCGATAATGCAGAGGTTCAAAAGTAACAAAAGTAAATGTGCCCGCCTTTAAAAGGGTGTTTGAGCAACCCTGTGATAATACAGAGGTTTAAGCGGATTACAAATCCTTCGAGCACTTACTGGTACTCTTGCCCGCCTATAATTAAACTAATCATTACGACAGCTTAAGTACAGAACTGTCAGTTCATATAAGCACTTGTAAGTTGTGTGAATATTGAGTGTGGGGACCCTAGTCACCCTATGCGCGGCAGCCGCACTCACTGCTCTGGGAACTCCGACAGAAGGGACTACTCATTTCTGATCACTTCTGCTAGGAAGAGGCTGACAATGACAGATGACCTCTTCTTATTTTGAAAATTCTATACCGTTTTTAAATTGAGCCTTCTTACAACACACCTCAGATCCATCACCGTTGAAAAGCTTCCACTTCGCACATCGAGGCATAGACCTCCGGGCTTCAAAGCCACAATTTCACCACATGGCGCCGAGTAATCAAGTCCAACGCATCGAGTTGCGACAGTTTCCTCTCCCAGCTATAGAGCGAGAGCACGTCCCAACATTCGGCATTTGGTCCGCTACTGGAAGTGCATACCGAGAGGATAACCCCAAGGGGCCAGAACCAAGAGAGTCAATTATACACGAAACTCTTTTTACACTGCCTTTGGCTCGGGTAACTTGGCTCTGCGCAATATTCGCCCTAGGTTACGTCGGACTGGAAGTGTCTCTCGGCGGTTGGATCGTCACATTCATGTTGCAGGTTCGTCATGGAGAGGATTTTGCTAGTGGTATGACGACTACTGGTTTCTGGGCCGGATTAGCTCTGGGTCGTGTTGCCTTAGGTCTTGTGACACAAACTACCTCTATTAAGAAACCAGATGGTTATAACGGAACTAGGGCACCAGTGGGAACTAGGGATGGATAGAACACATAGTAGCTCACGAGCAAGATTTGGAGGACGTCAGGATACGGCGTGTACTATATAGTATATAGCTAGAGCCTGCGACCCTTCACGCCACATACCCTCCGGGAGGTCTGCCGCAAGGGCGGCTGCGCCCTTGCTGCCATGGCGTTAAATAGAACAACAACAACATTGGGTCTTGTGACACCTCGAGTAGGCGAGAAGCTCGCTGTCATGGTATGTTCAACCTTAGCCACGCTCAAATTCGGCGTAATGGTGTCAACCGACTAATCACTTGGAAACCTTATTAGCTATACCTCGGCGCCACCGTGTGTTTACAGCTCTTATTCTGGCTTATTCCCGGATTCTTTGTCTCTGCAATCACCGTATCGCTCCAGGGGTTCTTCCTCGGACCACTGTTACCCACCATGATGGTTGCCATCACGAAGCTACTACCAAGGCACTAACACGTCAGTGCTATCGGTTTTGCCATTGCTCTTGGAGGCAGTGGCGCGGCTATCCTACCCTTTGTCATTAGAGCTCAAGCTCAGCGCCATGGCGTGCAAGTCTTATCTCCAATACTGCTCGGGGCACTCGCATTTTTGTTGTTCACCTGTCCTTCCTGCCCAACTTCGGTCGCAAACATGAGTGAGCTGCCGCGGAAGGGGACAAAAAGCCTTGCAAGAATTATTCCGGGTTTTCGTACTAGATCAGACTCTGTTTCTCTCTTGCTGTCGTCTGAAGTACTCCCTTTCTGTTCAGTCCGCCTCACCTTAGCGGGATCAGTCCGCACGGATGGTGTAGACAGGCTTTTAACTTCTCATCTCTCATAGGCGGAATTATTATTCAAATTAATTGTTGAGCGGAGCACTTTGCGAATAAAATCACCAACCTTCACGGGGCTCGGATTATTCCCGAAGCCTCTCCTCTGACTCGCATTCAAGCCCACTTAGTACGCTGCTTATCTGAGTCGACCATACACAGTCAGTGTAGTACGTGAGGTGACGGTCAGAGCTTCTGATAGAACTTCGCAAACCCCCACATTAATCAAGGAGAGTTCAGTCTACTTGATAGAGTAATTTCATATTGCTCCTATCGCTCATTTCAAAGCAATGAGATTGTCTGCTGAGGTAGATTTGGCCTATAATTCCGGCAAGTACGGCTATACGTACTGTGCTAGAGACTATAGAGAGTTAAGAATAAAGGTATCAGCTGCCCATACAAGGGAAGTCAAGGTATCAGCTGCCCATACAAGGGAAGTCAAACTCTACTGCGAACACCAAGCAACACCACAACTCTCCAGCAGCAAGCAACCTGCACCTCATTCCCACCCAATCATATACTTGAAAAAAAAGAAAGATCGTCAAACTCAACCAAAGACAGTCACAATGCAGCTGTTGACCCTCTCTACCTTGGCTGTAACCCTGCTGTGGGGTCAAGCTCTCGCAGACTGCGGTGAAGGGACTTTCAACGGCAAACCCAATGCATACAATAGAGTTTCGAACTGCAACCTTAATGCAAACAACGTCTATTTCTGCGGCAACTCTGGGACTTCCGTGGTCCACAAGCAAAGCCAACTTATTCTCCGAGCTGGAAATGTCGATTCAACAGTCCTAGTTGCCTGCAACGGATTCAGCTTCTTGTATCACTGTTCAGCCGGCGAAACAGGCCGGTTCAGGGAGCCGCAATGCAAGGGCGCGGTTTGGGAAGTTGAGAATATTAAGGAGATTTGAGAAGTAGTGTGGGAGACAACAGACCGCTGGATTCAATATGACTCGTAAACATAGAAGCATGTTGATGGTAACGTACATGCATAGCGAGTGGCCCATCATAGCGAGTAGCCCACCTTCAAATACCCTCCAGCCATTTGTATAAGTCAATTAAGCTACATCTTACAAAATCAATTCGAACTACTCATTAGCCTCTTCTTCAGAGGTCTCCCAAACTACCTAATATATTCGTATATTATATCCAGTCTTTCTATAGTTACTGTTGGATCTCTGAGCAGTCGGCAGAAAAGATGGATCTGGAAGGCGGTATTGGTTGGCACTTACAAACGGCCCTTTCACTTACATACCACTTCTGGGAGATCGTGGGCGGACTTTGAGATATAGACCATTAATAACATCAAGCTCATCGGTAGCCCGATCTTGAAGAAGTTAAGGGACTACCTTATTAATAACGTTATTAACGCTGGCAGCGCTACAGGAGGCTACCACCACCGGCTCTACCGGCTAGTCAAGTTAGATAATATACCAACGTAGACCGACGAGGAAATCCACGCGGCCCGCAACAAGTCTGCCCGTCTTCGCGAGATTACAAAAGACCTCAAGTTCCTTGCCACTCTGCTCCCCGACAGCACTTCGACGGCAGACCTCCTTCGTGAGGTCAGAGGCACTGCCCCTCCTTCTCGGCCACCCACTCGACAGCAAGCTCTACCTCCTGCCCAACCCACGATTCCACCGATTACTCCGAACCCACTAGGCCACGGCCTTCCTCCTTCAGGTCAACATCTTCTCGAAGATACCATAATCGACGAACGCCTCGAGCGACATCAGCGACATCCTTACCTTCCTTCCGAGAACATCATGCCCGACACTCGCTCCCTTATTACCCTAGCTAAGCTCTACTACGATGAGCGTAAGTACGGCGGTGATAAGTACGAGATCTTTACAAAGAAGGTGGCTATATTTAGAGACCTCTACCGTAAAGCAGGGATCGACTAGTCTAGCTACGCGGGTGCCTTCTCCAAGATGCTTCAAGGCAGGGTAGCATCTTTCTATTTCGATAACCTTAGTTAATTAAGCGCGACCATAACCTCCTATAACATATACTACAAAGTTAGGGATTACTTCGAACCTCCTTCTACTCGACTTATATACCTTACCGAGCTTCGCAATCTTAATTACCGTTCTATAGCCCGCGGGCAAGTCAGGCCAATAAGTGCTTTAAGAGCTCGTCTAGTGGATATTAATCCTATCCCATCGAGTGCCACTTGACGCCATTTTCGCCAAGGGCGGGTGTCAGAGCCCTCCCGGATAGGGGCTAGTTAGAGGTAGTAAGGAGTCCAAGCAACAAAGGAGCAGCTCAGATATATATACAGCGCAGGGAGTACACGTCGGGGGAGGAGCAGATTTCAGTAATTCATCATTCTACCCCTAACTGCAGTTGGCCTCTGAGAGCTTCCACCCTGCGTCAACACCCCAA